GCTATTATCAAGACTATAAGAAAGAAGAAATTGTATATTGAATTGGTTAGTCCAGATGTAGTCAATATGACTACTGCCTTTATTAATAACTTAATTATTTTGTAGAATAATACAACTATGAAACTGTATTATTATATAATTCTATACTATAAACTTGAACTAAACTAACTTTCTAATGAAAAAAATTTAACTTTTTTTATAACAAATTGACTATAAGAAGAGCATACACAAGACTACAACTCTTTTTATTGTTTTTATTATTTTTTAACCATTTTTGCTCTAATTTTTAATTTTTTTTATATAGTCTTTTATTACTTTAACATTTTTTATAATTATTATAGAACTAATAAAAATGGTTTAATTTTACTTGTTTTAGAGATTATATTGTCTACAATTATATTTTCTTTGACATTGTCTTACTCCTAATTCAAATAAGATAAATAGAGTTAATATCTATTTCTAGTATAAACAGATTGGTTTAAATTAACCTTTTTTTAATTAAAAGAAGCAATATAGTTCTATATTGTGAGATCTAAAAATGTGATCAATATTACATGTTGTAAATCCCAAATATCAGAAATGTCAGATATGTCAGATATATTTAATATATCTGATATATCTGATATATCGCCTATATTGTATAAGTGTAATAAATTAGATATATATGATATATATGATAAATTAGATATGTTCAATATTTTAGACAATTTTATAATGAAATAGACAAGACAGTTTATTATAAATAAAGGCAATTCGCCTAGAAAAAAGAGGAATGTCAATTGCAAAATATAAACTATCTATCTGACCTATAATTGAAGTAAAAGTGTTATCTTATAAAAGCCTAGCAACTATCATTAAATTTCAGTACTAATACTGCCTCCTCTCAAGAACAACCAAACTCGTAATTGAGTGCTTGCTATAGTTACGTGCCTGGCAAACCGAAATGAAAAAGAAGAGCTCCAACCTAATTCTATATAGTGAAATCCTAGTTAAGACAATAGAGAAGAAAAGAATTAAAACAAGAGTAGGTTAAAGAAAAAACTTAACAAAGAAAAGACCAGTACTTACCTACAAATAAAAATCTACTTGCCAAATCTAACATGCCTGTTTTAACTTAGCCGCAATAGGTAATATAAGAGTTGGCTTAGTTTAGCAACAGACTCGCCAAAATCTGAGATGACAATATAAAGGCTTATATATTGTTATATAGCTTTTTTGAAGTCAGATACATATGTTTTAAATAGATTATTATAGGCATTACCAATAGGTAAGTATGCTATTATAATGATTATTTTGCAGGTTCTTTGTGATGTTATTTTTATCTTTGATACTATAATCTTTTATATAAAAGAATTTTCAAAGTTTTCTATATTTATAATAACTTAAATAAAAATTACTTCTCAAAAATAAGAACTTTAATACAAAAAAAATCAAAATTAAAATTAATAATTAGTTATTTATTAATGTATTAGAAAAGCATATAATAGCAGATATATAAATATAATAATAAAAAAAATAGCTGAATATACAAATCTAAAAGATAAGTATTTAAAATATAATATATATATTAGTAAAACTACTAAAGTTATAAAAGTTGAATTAACATTATCTCAAATTATGAGTATTGAAAAATAATTATCATAGTGATAATATTTTTATTTTAAATTTATCTTAATAATATTACAAAATATATTAATAAGAATAGGATTTTTTTTAAAAAAAATAATAATAATAAAAGTAAAAAAAAAAAACCTTATAAGAATGTATAGTTAATTTTCTTTTGTCTTTTATTATATTCTTTTTTATTTGTTTTTAATAAATAATTTAAACAAAAATAATAACTTATTGTATAATAATAACTAAACAAGAAATATTATTACAAAAATGATTTATTGCAAAACTATAGATTTTGTATAATACAAGTCACTCTCATTATAGTGAATCTTCATTATAGTGAAGATTGGTTTATAGTGAAGAATTTTTTAGAACAAAATCAAATAATAATAAATATTCAACCTATATAGTGAAGTTAAATAGTAAACTCTCAATATTAGCTATAATGAAGATTTTTGTAAACAGATATAATAAAATGTCTTGCATTATAGCAAAGATTATATCACATAATTATTATTGTCTAATCAAATTAATTGATCAGTTACCATACCCATTATAACACAAAAATACATGTCACGATTTTATGCATTATTCCTATATAGGAGAGATTAAGGTTCTTAAATTTCTTGCACCATATATACTGTATTTCAAGTAACCAATCTGGCTTTTCACATTTGACCTTTAGACCTTAACTTAAGAAGGAAATAAAAAGTTACAATTTTAAATTATGGCAATTTATTCTTGAATGATAGTATTGAAATAAAAAAAGATAAAGCAAAATTATTCAAATACACTTAATTGTATAAAGGCAGATTTTTTTTTTTTTTTATAAATTTATTTATTTTTTTTCAATTAAAATACTGCCTCTTTATTATTATTTTTTTTTTTACATAGTGAGATGCCCTAAATCAGTGAGTCTGTCACTAATCGAAGGTCAGCTTCATGTAATGTTCAGACAGCTTTCAGTCAAAAGAGGCATGTAGATTTGTTGAGCGATTTTGATTCAGGTTTGGCTTATCTTGAATAGTCTATACTACATCAAGACTATCACTCTACTTCTTTTAACAGTGCAATATTCCACACTATTTCAGGAATACTAGACTAATGGGGGTGGGATTTATTAATATTATAGGTAAGTATTTTATTATGATGATGGTTCTCTATAGTCACTCGTAGAAGAACCTTTCTTTGATGTATGTAAGGTAAGTTGTTTTTTATTTCTTATGTTCAAATCCACCTTATTACTAGAATGAAATTACAGGTTATTTATAAGCAAAATTCTATCTATTGTTAGGGTGCTGATATCTATTATTGCACTTATAATAATGATAGCGCTTATATTGCATATATTGATTATACTGATTATAATCAATATATGCAATATATGCATTATAATTATTAAAGCATGTAATTCCAACTTTGGTGAGATCTTCCTAGCCAAGGCAAAATCATGACTACCAATCATGTGATAATGATCTTACGACAAAATCAGTGATTAGTTGATCACGTATTCCAGGTCTGACAATAGTCATTTTTATTTTAATAAATAAAGTTGAGCTATTTCTTATTTTAAAAACATTCACTCTTATTTTTTTTGTTTCTTATCACTTGTAACAGCAATAATGAAAGGATCTTCTAAAGAGCAAATAAAAAAAAAACAAAAATACAGTAAAAAAAAAAATAAACTGATACAAGAAAAAGTCTAACTGATATTCAAAAAGCCAAAATATGCTACCTAAAGCAAAAAGGAGTTAGTTAAATTAGACTGGCTGAACAGTTTGGTGTAGCCAAAGCTACTATCTCAGATATTATTCATAAAAAAGAAAAGTGGTTAGCACTTGATTTAAACTCAAACAATGCCCATTCAAAGTAACAAAGGGCTGAAAAATATCTTCTAGTAGAAGAAGCACTTGCACTTTAGATATCAAGAGCAAATACTGCATTGCAAACAATTACAGATGCAATTGTTAAACATAAAGCAACACAACTCGTAGAAGAGCTTGAAATAACAGGTTTCAATGCATCTGATGAGTGGCTTTCAAATTTTAAAAAAAGGCACTATATAAAGGAATATAAATGTTTAGGTGAAGCTGCAAGTGCACCTCTCAAGAATCTTTTCAGATTTTACAGTGAGTTGCAAGAACTAATCAAAAAATACAAGCCCAAAAATGTTTATAATACTGATAAAACTGCATTATACTGGCATATGGAACTTGATAAAACATTAGCTGATAGCCTGGTTACAGGAAAAAAAAAGCCAAAAACCATGTTACTATATTACTTACATGTAATGCAACCAGTAATCACAAACTCCTCCCTCTGTTTATATATAAATTTAAAACCCCTCAAGCTCTCAAAAATATTGATAAATCCATCTTACCTATGTATTATTACTGGAATAGTTCCTCTTGAATGCAAACATCAATTTTTAACAATTACATTAAGCATCTAGATAACCAAATACAACTTGCTCACTGTTTAATTTTTCTCATATTGGATAGTGCATCAACTCATGCACTTGAAGAAGGCTTTACCTCAATAAATGTTAAATTGTATTTTTTTTCTCTACATACAACAGAACATCTTCAACCATGTGATGTGGGAATAATTTGGAGTTTTAAGGTTAGCTAATTTAAGCTTTTTTTATTTATCTGGATTTTTTTTATTTAAACTTTTTTATTTTATTTTTTTAAGTTTTTTTTTATTTTAGTTTTTTTTTTATTTAAGTTTTTTTTTTATTTAAATTTTTTTTATTTAAGTTTTGTTTTTATTAATTTTTTATTTTTATTAAATTATCTATATAGGTGCATTATAAAAAATTTTTTAGCACAGACTGTATAGAAGCTTTTGATTTTTTTTGGAATCTGGTGACCATCCTGAAGAAATAACTATCAAAGATGTGATTGATTTTATAGCTGCTGTATGGAAAGAAGTAACTCAAGTAAGAATTAGAATCTATTTAGTTAACTACTATGTTTAGTTGACTAATTAATTGACTAAATATAGTAGTTAATTTAATTACTTTTTCAATTAGCTAAAATAATTCTCTAATTTTAGAAATGATTCATAACTGTTAGAAAAAGACTAGCATTTTGCTAGAGGGTTTTCTTAGTGAATTATTTCTGTATGAAGAATCAAACCAAGCTAATAAGCCTGACCAATTCAATAAACCTGTCATTATTGATGAGATTTAGGATTTGATTACACAATTGTCCCTCGACCAACCAATGAATGCATAAGAATACATAATTGCTAACAATAATCTTATCACTACTAAAATGTCAACTAATAAAGAAATCATTGAAGCTGTTAAGAATTGTGATTGTATTGAACCAAATAAAGAATCACAAAAACCAATATCACCTGCAAAAGCCTTAAGATTTATCTGTGGAATCCTAACTTTTCTTGAAGAGCATCTAGATAGAAGTTTTAAAGTTGATGATTCTCTTATTCAGAATTTAGAGAAATTAAAAAAAGAAGTAAATTCAAAACTTGTCACTTCTAAACATCAAGCAATCTTGGATACATTCATTTGTAATATGAATTAGACCTATTTTTTTTTAAAAAAAAAATTTCAATTTTCTTTTTTTTCTTTTAAAAAAAAATTTTTTTTTTCTTTTTTTTTTTTTTTTAACAAAAATTTATATTTGACTTGAAGTGAAATTAGAAGATTACAAGAGTAGGCACAGAAGTAATAACAGGTTAAATAAAAACTAATCAGATGGCAATATTTTATTTTGTATTTTTATTAAATATAGTAGCTTGGAATTGGGCTGACCAACTTTGGAAAATTTAAAAAAGTAAATTTTAAACTTTTTTTGCAAGATACAATTAGATTTTTGTGGGCAATTGCAAGTTTTTTTTTTAATTTTAATTATTTTGATAGTAAAATGCTTTAAATCAAATTTTTACAAATAAATTTTAGTTTCTAGGTGCTTTATTTTAATTAAAAAAAACATTTCTTTTTGGATCTGACTTTTTACAGTTTCATAAATGTAATTGTAGTATATGCTATGATGCCACTAATTGATATCCTGGAAGGATACCAATAGTTTTTTAGCAATTGCTTCATTTATTGATGCTGTAGTTCATATCTAATCTTCATTTAAAGGATTTCAGGATAACTTTCTGAAGTTCATTTTTCTAATATACTATTTTACAGAAGTCATAATATTAACAATCCATTTTACTAACAGGACATAATGAATTCATGTTATTCCACCAACACCCAGTTCACCAAGTTTATTTCACCTACAATTACTTTGCTGACAGCTCATTTCACTGACATGTTTTTTTAAGAATTGTACTAACTTTAATTCTAATTCTAAACTAACTTTAATGACAATGACTGAAATTACTTTTCAGTAAAATGACTGTTGGTGAAATAAAATATCTGTAAAATAAATTGTCAGTAAACTGTCAGTAAACTAAGTTGTGTTTTGTTAAAAAAAAGACATTTTAGGAAGGTAACTTCAAGAAAGTGAACAATAATACATTTAAGAATGCTTAAGATATAAAGAAATTCAATTACTGTAATACTAAAATAATTATAATTAATTGGATATAATAATGTAAAAATTGTAATAGATTTTTGGATATTTCTCTTAATATAGTGAAGATTTTATATTTAATTATTATCTTTACTATATTGAGAAATTTTCAATATAGTGAATCTTTCAATATAGTGAAAAAATTTTTACAGCCTGAGGTCTTTATTATAACGAGAGTAACTTGTATTAAATAAATTAAATTAAAATAAACATTATAACACATATATCAATAACAAAAAAAGTAAAATAATTTATAGTATTTAATTTTTTTGTTATTTAATTAATATCAGATTCAATAATATATAATTTACTAATTTTTTTTCTTAAAAAAATAAAAAAATTTATAAGTACTTGTAAACCTACTTAATTATAAGCTTAATAACAGACTTTGCAATCCAAAAATAATTTTTTTTTGAAATTACTATACTTCTATATAAGTATTTACTAAATATTCAAATATTTATATTTAGATAATATACATATATATATACATATTGCTAGACCTAGAACATGTGATCAATAAGTTACTGATTTTATCATAAGATTATCATTATACAATTATTAGTCATGATTCTGCCTTAGCTAGAAATATCTTACCAAAGTTAGAATACTTATATTTATAATGATTATAATGTGTATATTACATATATTGATTATAATTAGTATAATCAATATATATGATATAAGTGCTATTATCATTATAACTAAAATAATAAATATCAACATCCTAATAATAGATAGAATTTTACTTATAAATAATCTGTAATTTTATTCTAGTAATAAAACAGATTTTACTATAAAAAATTAATAAACACTATATCTTTTATATATCAAATAAAGGTTCTTCTATAAGTGACTGTAAAGAACTAACATCATAATAAAATACTTATTCATAATATTAATAAATCTCATCCTGCTAGTACAGTATATTCTGACATAGTGAAAAATATTGAAATTCTTAAGATATTAAAGAAGTAGCCTCAATATAGTGTAGACTAATCCTGAATAACCTGACCTGAATCAAAATTGCTTGCAAATCCACACACTTTTTTCAACTGAAAGCCAACTAATCATTACACAAAGTTGACTTTTAATTAGTAACAGACTTACTAAATTAGAGCATCTCAATATAAACAAATACATATATTTTAATAGTTTGAAATTATATCTTTTATTTTTTTATCATGTGACCTATAACACAAAGATACTACTTTTTCTTCATTTCCTTCATTTATTTCTAATAAATGTTCTGAATAAGAATAATAAAAAGATTTATATGCAGATAAGTATTATACTCATTTGCCTTTTTATTTGTATTTTTATAAGCACTTTATTGGCATGTTTATTTACACTTTTATTTACATTTTTATTTGCACTTTATTTATGCTTATTTGTGCTTTGTCAATACTCTTAAATTCTGTTTTTGAAATAGGAGTTTAATTGCATAAAGCAGCAAAAACAAAATACCTATAAATTGCATTTCATTATATTTATTGTTAAAACACCTCCTCAATGAGAGCAAAATAGAAAATCTGAAAGTGTAACTTTATTCCTCAACATTTATGAAGTTAGTTAAGAATATTCCAAGGTAATTCTTTGGGTTTCAATAAATTTCATCATGTTAAAATAATCAATTTTAATAAATATACAGTATATAGCATACAATTAATCTTAATAAACATTAAATTGATTTTCACTCGTCCAACATAAAAATCTGTAATATATCAAATTTCATAGTCTCACATAGCTTTTATTTACTTAGTTGAATTACCACCCCAGTACGTACGTACGTGCATATATATAATATCAGATATCGTAATTTTTATTGTATGTATTGTGCCGAAATCACAATCGATCAGAACATCATTCGGTCAATTTTATCGGGTGTTCCAGAATTATGAAAAAGTCCGATGCACATTTTTATTAATTAAATAAATTACGAGTCGAAAAACAAAATCCGGTTCCAAACTCTAGTACAACTATTCGTTGCACTTAAAATAGTGCTATTGAGGGTTCAGAATTAACGATTTGTCATCTGATTTCACATAAAATAAGAAACTATTTGCGTCAAAATATGTGATCTATAAATCTTAATTTTTTTTACGTATAAACATAATTACATAATCGTTTGCCAGTAGATATTTATCAAAAAAACCAATTTTATTAACGTAAGTTTGAATTTTAAAAATAGAAGTAGAATCTTTTAAATTCACACATATTTCGAAATAAGTTTAATTAAATTGCTGCAAATAACTAGCTATATTGTTTTATGCTAATATGTGAAATTTGCCATTTCATGTAACAATTACAAGACTTGTGAACAATTAGCAATTTCGGAATTTATGAATAAATGTATTGGCCAGATTTTAATAAGAGCTTTGCAAATTATGTGAAATTTGAAGATTATTAAAAAAAAAAAGGTAATCACTAATTTCCAATTACTGATTTCCGATTTCTTCACCATTTTTTTGGAATTTTAGACTAGACAAAATTTGCGCATTTATTATTTGTAAAAATTTGATTGAATATTTTAATTTGCAACTTTGAAGATATTACAAAATGATGAATATGCAACTTTTTTTCTATAAAAAAAAATAATTTTTTTTACAAAATAATAATTGCGCAAATTTTCTATCCTAAAAGTCAAAAAAAAAAAGTTGAAATCGGAATTAGTGATATTTTTTTCAAATCTCAAACCGCAATAAATGCTGGCCAGCCAATAAATATGATCTTTTTTAATACGATTAAATATTAATCGATGTATCAAGAAGGGATACTTTAAATAATGAATAATGTACATGTAAATAATCGTTTAGATAGTCGGTAAAATACTTATAATATTACGATCATGCATACTAGATTCTTTCGTGCAACTACACATCTGATACCATACTTCACTCATGTTATATATTGCAATATTCAATTTCACAAATTCACTGTCTGACTAAATGAAATGAAAAATGAATTGATTACGAACATAAAGAATGTACATTTACAAAATTTAAAGACAAACCAAAAATTTATAAAAATAATTAGGCTCCAGCTTGTAAAATGTCATCGTCATTCTCGCTCGGATAAGTGCTCTCTGCTGCAAGTCACGTGACGAAAATACAAAGAGAATAGAATGCAAGTCGTGGTTAAAGGGGAATTATTCTACGTTATTCATTTATTTTCTGTCCTTGTTTATTTATATATCTTTTTTTTTCGGGTGTTATGTTTCTGGAGAATGCTTAAGCGATCCTAGAATACGTAATTCTGTAAAACTTCGATGATTGTGCAGTGATCATAGTTGCATTCTGAAGTCAAAGATTTCGTCATATTTAAAATAATGCTTACGCAAAGGTCAAGGATGTTCACGCGAAGATGCAGCGATCCTTATAGTTACGTTCTGAAGTCAATGCTTTAGTTAAGTTCTGAAGTCAACGCTTTAGTTACGTTCTGAAGTCAAAGCTTTGTCAAATTTAGGGTGATCACACGCAAAGGTGTAGCGATTCTCAAGGATGCTCAGCGAAGGTGTGACGATCCTTAGTACATCTTTCCATCCTTTTTCTTTTTTTTGGGAGGGGGGTCTCCGCCCATAAAATACCTAACTCGGGTTACGCAAGGCTAAGTCACAGATCGCGATAATACCCTTTGCATGACTATCGTCAATGCAATGCTGGCAACGTTCCACAACATGATACATTGGTTATATATCGGAAGTAAAATCCGATTTTTTACTATTATATTAAAATAATAATCCTTTCAAAATGATAATGTTGCCGAATGAATGTCTTTTTGAAATATTTAGTTATTTTAGAACTAATCGTCAAAACTTATTTTCATGCCTTCTCGTAAATCGTCGATGGTGTAGAATTATTATACCGATATTATGGAGTGAACTATATTTTAGCGATGAAAGACTTATAAGAACTTATCTTTTAGCATTAAATGCTGAAGAACAGGCTCAGTTGATTCCTTTTAAAATCGTTCTTCCAAATTATCCAAGACCATTATTTGAGTATGAAAGTTATATTACATCTGTTTATAGTGTGGGCCGTGGTGTCGAAAATTGGCTTAAAAATGAAGGATATACCAGTGAAAATTTCGAAAAAGATGAACTTTCAAATGCTATAAAATGCACTTTAATTCTAATGTTTTTGCGAGCAAGTAAAAATCTTAAACACTTAATACTTTACAATATTATTAGTAAAATGATATTAACAGATTCACTTTGCAAGTATACCACATTAATTTCTTTAGATCTTGATAATTATTATCTTGGATCAAAAGGAGAAAAAACATTAGCTGATGCACTTTACAAGAACACCACTTTAACTTCTTTGATTCTTGTAAATAATGATCTTGGATCAGAAGGTGGAAAAACATTAGCGGATGCACTTTGTAAGAACTCCACGCTGACTTCTTTATCCCTTAGTTACAATAATCTTGGATCAAAAGGAGGAAAAGCATTAGCAGATACACTTTGCAAGAACTCCACGCTGACTTATTTGAATCTTGACAATAATAATCTTGGATCAGAAGGAGGAAAAGAATTGGCAGATGCACTCTGCAAGAATGCCACACTGACTTCTTTGGACCTTTGCTGTAACTATCTTGAATCAGGAGGAGGAAAAGCATTAGCAGATGCACTTTGTAAGAACATTACGCTGACTTATTTGAATCTTGAAGATAATAATATTGGATCAGAAGGAGGAAAAGCATTAGCATATGCACTTTGTAAAAACATTACGCTGACTTATTTGAATCTTGAAGATAATAATATTGGATCAGAAGGAGGAAAAGAATTAGCAGATGCACTCTGCAAGAATGCCACACTGACTTCTTTGGACCTTTGCTGTAACTATCTTGAATCAGGAGGAGGAAAAGCATTAGCAGATGCACTTTGTAAGAACATTACGCTGACTTATTTGAATCTTGAAGATAATAATATTGGATCAGAAGGTGCAAAAGCATTAGCAGATGCACTTTGTAAGAACGCCACTCTGACTTCTTTGGATCTTAAAAATAATCATATTGAATCAGAAGGAGGAAAAGCATTAGCAGATGCACTTTTCAATAACACCACTCTGACTTCTTTGAATCTTGAGAATAATGATCTTGGATCAGAAGGAGGAAAAGCATTGGAAGATGCACTTTGTAAGAACAATACTCTGAAAATATTATACATTTCGGACAATGATATTAATTTTACTGTAAAATCCAATAATCCAGATATCGAAATAGATCAATAAATTGTATTTAGTGTATACATAAATGCATGTAACACAATTGTAACGCAATGTAATGCAAAATAATAGTTAATAGGCTAAAATTTGAAGTGTCGAACAAATATTTTTATGTGTTTAGTTAAGGCGCTTACCTCTGAAAGAAATGAAGAGACTTATTTTGAACTTATTAGAACATTAGATATATTTATATTTTTATAATTGAGGACTTCTCTGATTTATTCGAGTTTGAATCAAACAGGATATTTACTATGTATTATTCAATGATATAAGCCGTATTAAACGCGAACTAAGTCAAAAGTATTCTATCCTTTATTCAGAATTTGATATATATTAAAAATTAATTCGGTTGTTATAAATTTATTGGCAAATTTAGTTATTGTTAGTTATCAGCAATAAGTTTTTTCTCTAAATCTAATTGCTAAAGAAGTACCAATTTATTATTAATTTTTATACCGATAATAAATATACCGTTGCTTTATAAGCTTGAATAGCTGATTCTAAACAAACATATCAGACAAAATCAATGTAAAGAAATGAATAATCTAAACATTTTGATAGATAATTGCATGATTTGCCTAAAGTTAGCATCCATCTTAAATTATCTTAAATCATAATTAAAGAAAATTTAATTTCAAAAGCAAAATGTAACTTCAGACATGACATATTAATTTTCTAAATTAACCTTAATAAGGAAAATCAAGCACGTACGTAATCTGTGACAGGTTAAGCCACTAATTTCAATCACCACCTTAAATCATGATGAAAAGCTATTGTTTTAGTAATTTGAAAGGCTTATCATTACGAAATTAAAGTTGAAAATATAATCGTATTTGGTTATTCTTTATTTTTTTTTTTTTTGCTATTTTATGAATTAAATTTTTTTTTATATCTAACATGAGTAAAGTGAGCAAATTAAAAGTTTAAAATAACCTATCGACTTCTAATAAGACTTACCGTTAAAGAGAACCAATTTTTTAATAAAGTGCTGGTTATACAAAGTTTGATATGTTTTTATAAAACGGAATTAAGAAAATGGATGAGAACTATATTTCGAGCATACCTTCATTTTTAGTTATTAATTTAAGCTGCCAAAATATTAGCCCAACATTACTAACCATGTTAGATAAATTCAAAGATCAGTGTAATGTAATAAAAATAAAATCATCCAAATATTTGTCTTCATAATTTTAGTCGCGACTGTTCAATCAAAAGTGCTGCGAAAGTATGAGTTCACGAATAAATGATATAAAAGAAAGAAGAATTCAGCTCTTTGAGTCGTTTTCATTCGAAAGATGTAGAATTAAGTATCTTTTAAGGAAGAATGTATTGAACAATAGTACGGTTAAAGAAACGACATATTGTTTGCTTTGCTTTAAAGTAAATTAAGTTTTATTTTTGATATAAATGTTTGTTTAGTTAATATCAGAAGCAACTTTTGAATTTGTAAGCATTTTTTTTTTTAATAGTTTATGACAGTCAAGTCTTACTCTGGGGACGGTGATTGAAATTAGTGGCTTAACCTGTCACAGATTACGGAAACCTGTCACAGATTACGGATGTGCTTAATATTGTATAAGTGATGTATTGTATCAAACAATAGCCATCAAAAGGCCTTTGTCTAGGTAACCTTTTCGCCTTGCCTATTCTAAATGTAAATATAAATATATTTAGTCTATCGGGTAAAGTATAAAATCTAGAAATTACATCAAGATCAGAACTTTAAACTATAGTTATTACCTTATACGTACAGAGAATTTAAAAGTCGGTACTTAACTAGGTAGAATTTCTCTTAGCATTTCTTCCGACCTTTCCGACATTATCAAGACCGACAAAAATTTCACTTCTTATTTAGTTTTTTCAACTACTGCATCTAACTGCATCTCTCATTAAAAAACGATAGGTTTAAAGGTAAAAAATCGGTTACCAAAGTTTTACGTATTACAAAAAAAAATTTTTTATATGATGTGCCGATTTTTACTAATAACGGTACTTTAAAAATTACAATTGACTGTATAAAAAAGATCATCGCCAATCATATTGATCCTAATTTCAGCCAATTAAAACGAGCTTCTGCTATGCTACTATATGTAGGTATAAGTCAATACAATGGTTATTTAAAGGATTTGGGTTTGTTAGTAGGTTTCATCTTTCTTTTCGCTATCGCTCGCCTTGTGTTAAGGCTGGCTCTATCTCCCTCCCATCTCCAAAAATGAGTAAAAAATAAGAATGTTGACGTGTTAATTGGAGCAGCAAAGAAAGCAGCTGAGTTGAAAAGGTGGATCATCAATTTGATATTTATGCAGACGAAAAGAATATTCATTGTCATATTTATATAAAACGAAAGTTGATGATATTATAAAAGAAATCTATGAAACTCTAAGCCAATATTTTTCCTGAGAAAATTATTGTTAAAATTAGTAAAAATATTTAGAAGCTTTTGAATGTTTCATTTATAATTAGTTTACTTAGTTGAGTTTTTTGCTATTAAATAAAGTTGTTTATATAAAGTTAGAAATATTTAAATCTCAATTTTTGACAAATTTTATTATTTATTTATTAAATTAGATAATTTTTATTGTAATACTAAAAAATAAAAATTTTTAAATATAAAACTTATTTTTTTTTTAAGTATTTAGCAAAAAAATCTGCTTTTTTGTTGTTAAAAAAATTGGTTATGTCAATGATCAATTCTGGGGTGAGAAACACTAATTTGTATCAGTATTATTTAATAACTCATCCGTTTTAATTAATTCATCTGTTTCTATTTCCTTCGTCATTTCATTATATTTGCGCTGCCATCGGTCATATTTCACTCTTCCTTTTCTCAAGAGCTGTTTTTGAAGGATATAACCAAAAAACAGCTATTAATAAATATGACTATCTGATTTTTTTAATATTAAAAATCCTACCTCCCACTGATAATTGTCAAGATAATAATCTTGCAAAATCGTTTCCAACATTTGTACGCGGTCTTCTAATGTAGCGTTGTTGCGTCTATTCGATACCCTTTGTGATAAGGGAATTCCTGAAAACGTTATATATCGTTTTGCTAGACTGTTCTTTAAGCTTTAACATGTAATAATATGCTTTAATAAAATGGCGGATTAACGTTAAGTGCAGAAGTGAACAAGCAACTTATTATAAATATCAGGATTACCTGCGTCTATATTTTGTACACACCAACACGTATTTTTGTACAATACCCCTGCAATTCGGTTATTTGTTATAACGATAATAATCATATTTGTTATTAAATAAAGTAAACACTTACCATGGAGACAATTTTGCCATTCCAAACAATAAAATGTAAATAGAACTCAAAGCAACGTAGAAACCGCCGATCTTAGATATGATATTTCCAACTTTTGGCATTTGTTTATGAGCCAGGCACAATTTTACGATAATTGAAACTTTTTCTTAAAAAATAAAATTAAAAAAAGACTCTACCGGAATAATTAAAATTCTCATTTTCGTATCGGAGTTTAAAACCATATGAGTCCAAATCTTTTCTTTTTAACCTTTTTACTGTTATGCCAAATTGAATCTGTCTCTCACCAGAAATTTTTGGAAGTGTTGTGATAGTGGGGTTTAGATATAATTCGCTTTTTTGGTATGAGTAGCCCAAAGCGGCAAAAAAAAATGCATAATATGATTGCTTAATCATTGGAGAAATTGTTATAATAGAGCAATCTCCCGATTCAAAGATGAATGATGAAGGTGTGTCATAGAATGCTTTCATATCATCATTATTAATTGCCATTCTTCCAAATCTCACGTATAATTGGTGATCCGAAATCATTTGAAGAATAGAATCGTTCATTAGGAAATTATCGGAATGTGAGGCCATTAATAATTCAGTATCCATGTATTCATTCAGATCAAATGAAAAATTGGCTGTAGATGAAATACTCCCTAAGGTGACATCAAAAACCGTTATGGATTCATTTAATTGAAATAGTTTGCAGCCTTCGTAATCGAAATATGAATTCTCGACTTCTATACAAGTTCTACTACTGCACGTATAATTTGATAAATTATGCGCACAGAGAATAATGTCTATTTGTTATGATAATTAAATGCATATTGAGATTTGTAATGCTGTGTGCATGGATTAAACTGTTCATACCTGGCATTGTTAAAATAACATCAATGCTTTCTTTTATTTCTACAATAAATTGGTTGGAACTTAGTAGACTACTGGCTTGTACAAATGAATAAAATAAAATTGCAATTGTCAACCCGAATGCAACAATAATGCGAATACTTTTGAACCAGTAGGGCTCAGCGGTCTTGCCATCAAATAATGCGTCAAAGAGAAACATTTTTGATGACTGAATGTAAAGTGGACTAAATTGTGTTAATGATCAAATGAGACTGTACTAATATATATGGTAGGCATTCTGATTTTCACGAATGAATAGCGATAGACTAAACTGTGTTAGTGATCAAAATGAGACTGTATTATTATATATGGTAGGCATTCTGATTTTCACGAATGAATAGGATAGACTAAACTGTGTTAATGATCAAAATGAGACTACTATTATATATCGATATGGTAGGCATTCTAATTTTCACGAATGAATAGTGATAGTATCCCTTAATGTTAACATTAATCTGTAGATCATTTCCAGCCTGGAAAATTTTCACTATTTGTGCCGTCGTACTAACCTTAAAATTATTACCGAAAATTGTTATTTATGTCATTACCAAAGTTCTGCGCAAGTCATGGACATCATGTTTTTTGCCCCTCACTTGTAACATAGACATATTGGCAGTGCTTTTGTCTAGTAACGTACGTACGTATGTTCGTTAATGCTAATTTATGATCACTGATTAAAACCGGAAGAATCTGACCAACCATTTGACAATAAAATTTCCAGACAAATTTGCCTGGAAAACAACGATTATAAAATGATTAGTCAGATGTTAATATTAAGAGCTTTTACTTATTGTCGTTATTATTTGGTGTTACAGCAACATTCAACAAATAATTAAAAAATTTGACTGGAAAACAGTTTAAATACTATTTTAATATGGTTTCTACAACAATTCTGATTACGTCTATTTTCTTTACCTTACTTATTGGAGAGCTGGGTTTTCTAGTATATATAATACTTGTAAATTATGATTCTGCAAAGGACACTAAAATTCTTAGAATGTCTGATATTGTTAATGATCCTTATTATTACTTTAATGCTTGGATTTCTATCTTCGTTTTGATTTTAATGACAGGATCATTTGCTGTAAGTTATTTTCTTAATTACTTTAATTTGTAGAAAAAAGATACGCATTAATTTTTTCTCTTTTAAAGCTTTATTCAAAAACAATATTGCATGCACTTGTCTTTTGGCTTTCAAATTTTATTCCAATATTATTGTCAATTATATACAAAAGTAATTACTTTGTCTAGTACATATTATTATCTAATGTACAGATTATTGTTCTTCTAAATAAAACACTAACTTTTTTAAGTTGACATACCTCGCAGAGATGAAGGTCATAAACTTACAGATGATTATACACCAACTTCAATTTCAATTCTAGTATTCTTTATTTTTCAAGTTCTTCATATTATTCATATTGGAATATTATGGAAACAATAGTAGGTCATTCAATTATTAGAATTTATCAGGTCAATTTGTTTTTATCATTCACACAATATAACTACTAAATTATTCTTGTAGCTATTGGGTGTTTCGACATAAATTAAAATATAATTTTGATGCTGAAAAAAGAGGTAATGATTAAATAATAATATTTATTCAAATGAATAAATATAAATATTCATTTTATCTGCTTTATATAGCGTTATTTCTGTTGTATCAGCATGAACAAATTCTACACCAAATGACTATCAGTTTTATGACTTCTCTTATTATTTTAATGTATGCCAATTTTTATATGGAATTTTTTGTGTTTTATTATCTAAAATTTTTTTCATATATATACATATTACTTCCTTTTGTGATAATATGTTTTATGTTTAACGAGGTATGTACGAATTTAATTTAGTATTGAAAAATTAAATTGCTTAATTGCTTTTTTTAATTTTTAATTTTTTTAAAAAAGATTAAACAAGCGTCTCATATTAGTTTGTGCATTATGCAGTTGGCTATATGTTCTTTAATGTTTGTGATTTGTTACTCATTTTACAACATCATAATACCACATATAAAGATTGATCACCTTTATTGTATAGTTATTTATTATTTGCTTTTTGGTATGATTGCTTATTTATATTAAAGATTATTAAAAAATCAAAATTTCTTTTAACTAAAAGGTTACATTATTTTTACTCTAATATAGGTTCTATTTGCATGATTCTACTTGTTTTATTGCTTATATGCACAATTAGACTTCAATTTAAGCTTAAAAAAGGCTTGAAATTTATTGGTATGTTAAAAATTATATTTTGCTCTGCTTTACACTTTAGTTAACACGGTTGAATTTTTTTTAGTAATATATGAGCCAATACCAAAAGAATTTGAGTATAGTGAAGATGAAGAATTAAAAAAAGATGATCAACATTTGCCAGAAGATGATAAAAATATTTTTCGGCAGATTTTTAGAACAGTTTAGGTTAATGCACAGCATTGTATGTCCGGAGCTTAATTGTTTGTTACACGGAGTACAATATATAAAGTGAATCAAAAATGCAATTATTGCATTGCGCGCGGACAGACACCCAGTTATAAATTTACGGTTTTGATTATATAACTATTGATACATCAAAAACGTAACTATTGTATCACTTTGACTAAACATTAAATGTCCTCCTCTACGCTCCGGATAATTAAACAAATATCCAAGAGAATTATAATATTATATCATGATAGAAATTTGTTTATAGTTTTAATAACAGTAATTTTTAATTATTTATTTTGTATTTTTAAACTAGGTTTCACATTAATAAACTGATTAAAACTTGATTCTTTACAACTTACAATTATGCGCCCTATGCACTTTACTATTATGATATAAACCCAACTTTTATATTAAACAGCTTGATATTAATTTGAATAATTTGATGAATCAATTAATTATTAGTCATTCCAAAATCATTTGGAAAATATCAAGTTCACTATTTAATTTCAAATTTAAACTTAAATTTATATATCAATAGCATCTTTCTAATCATCAATGTAATACTCATACGCATCTAATGTTAATAAATAGTCATTGAGTTTTTCTGAAGTTAATACATGCAAATAGTAATTTGTATTCTTATAATTTTATAAAAAAATTGAATTTAATCATTATAAAAATCCTTTTTTTGAACTGATGTCTATTAAACAGTTTTAAATTTAACCAAAAATAAAAAATAAGTAAAATTCAAACAAACTAATTTTTAGTACTAAAATAGTATGTAGAAAAGACTAATTTATTTAATCTTATTATTTCAAACCTAGTAAAATTTATTTTTATATAATTATATTTAGCATATATGATAATTACCTTTACAAATATGACTACAAAAAAGCAAAGCTAACAATAATTTAGATCTTGAAACATTTTAATATTAAATAAAAAAATTTTGATCAAATTTTACTTGTCTTCATCTTTGCATTATTTTGAGTATATGCATGTTAAAAAAAAGTAGTTAAGAAATAATTATTGATAATTGAGCATATTTAATAAAAAAGCTACTAAATTTATCTTTAAATTCAATTCATTTTTTGATAGCATCTTAATGTCATAGAAGAATGAAAATATATTTAATTACATAATTTTATTTTTGCCAGCTGTAAGACAAAGATAAACCTGTTTTTTAAAGTAACAATTTTAGTTTTTTTAATACTAGAAAGGTTAATCAATTATGTAAATATTGTTTACCTTAAATTTGTAAAAACAGAAATTTTTTTAAAAGGAAAAAAAAGACAAACTTTAGACAAAAAATATACTATGTTTAAAAAAATAAAGAAAAAGATTAAAAGAAGAAATAAAGATAAAAAAAGAATTAATTTAAATATAGCAGCATATAATATCAATAGGCTTACTCTTTTACATCCCTAAATTTACAACATCAAACACATCTGGGATATCCAACTACAACACCATATCTCTAATCTTCTTAAATGACTTAATAACCCTGACCTGTTAGGCACATCAACTCGTATCTGAATTCAACAGTTACAAAACAACCTCTGGTCTCTTACTAATATTTTCTTATATCCTAAATCTATTATTGATGGTCCTAACTGTCTAACTACAAACTTTAAAATTATTCAGCTTATTAAGCATATTGACTAGACATTTTCTACTAACCTAATCTACAACATTTCATTTCCTCTAAATAATGGAACTATCTCTCTTGAATCTCTTCTTTCTTCTCATCCTAAATATTCCATTTTCAAAAAACAACTTAGATATCACAAACTACTTTTTTTCGACCAACTTACTACATATGATAACTTATACTTATTACATTGGCAACACATTTCCCCTAGATTAAATAAACTCCCTAAAGGTGTTATGCCTCAATAGTTTACTATTCTTGAGGACATTACAACAAGTCATTCTTATGAATGTATTTTATATAACCACTTTAATTTACCCTAAACAAATTACTTTTCTTATATTACTAGCTATTTCAACTCTAATACCAAACCCTGGTTACTTATTGTTCTTAATGACCAAATAATTATTGGCAAGACCAGAAGGCATAATACTCCTACAGGCCTTACTC